GTTTTAGAGATGGATCGGAAAGACCATTGTAAGGAGTGAGGTTAAAAAGACTGTTGAAGTACAGAAACCCAGCGTCGGGTAAAAATACGGCGTCGGGTAAAAGTACGACGTTGGGTAGAAGACCGACGATCGTCCATCGACTAGCAGAAGTCCGATGACGGGTAGAAATTCAACGTCGAGTAGAAGCCCAACGAAAGTCCATCGACGGGCAGAAGTATGACGACAGGGAGAAGTCTGATGTCGAGTTTAAGTACTATGTCGGGCAGAAGACCGACGAAAGTTTTCGTCGATGAGCAGAAGTTCGACGACGAGTAGAAGTCCACTAACGAGTAGAAGTCTTACGTTGAGGGAGAAGTCCGATGTCGGGTTGAAGTATTGTGACGGGTAGAAGACCGACGAAAGTTTTCGTCGACGAGCAGAAGTCCGACGACGAGTAGAAGTCCACTAACGAGCAAAAGTCTGATGACAGGGAGAAGTCCGATGTCGGGTTGAAGTACTGTGTCGGGCAGAAGACCGATGAAAGTTTTCGTCGACGAGTAGAAGTCTGACGACGAGTAGAAGTCTGACGTCGAGGGAGAAGTCTGATGTCGGGTTGAAGTACTCTGTCGGGCAGAAGACCGATGAAAGTTTTCGTCGACGAGCAGAAGTTCGACGACGAGTAGAAGTCCGCTAACAAGCAGAAGTCTGACGTTGAGGAAGAAGTCCGATGTAGGGTTGAAGTACTGTGTCGGGCAAAAGACCGACGAAAGTTTCCGTCGGGGTAGAGTCTGACAACGGACAGGAATCCAACGAAAGGTGGAAACTTAACGTCAAATAGAATTCTGACGTCGGGGAAAAGTATGACATCGGGCAGAAGACTGAATGAAAGTTCGTCGACGGGCAGAAGTCCAATGACTGGTAGTAGTCAGACGGCAGAAAGAAGTCCGGTGTCGAATAGAAGCACTGAGTCGGGTAGAAGACCGACGAAGGTTTTTCGACGAGCAGGAGTCCGACGACGAGTAGAAGTCTTCTAGCGAGCAGAATTCTGAAGACGAGTAGAAGTCTGCTGACGAGCAGAAGTCCGACGTCGGGTAGAAGTCCGCTGACGAGCAGAAGTCCTACGTCAAGGAGAAGTCCGCTGAGGAGAAAAAGTCCGACGTCGGGTAGAAGAGTGACGAAGGTTTGTCGACGAGCAGAAAGTCCGACGACGAGTAGAAGTCTACTAACGAGCAGAAGTCTGACGTCGAGTAGAAGTCTGCTGACGAGCAGAAGTCCGACGTCAAGGAGAAGTCCACTGAGGAGCAAAAGTCCGACGTCGGGTAGAAGAGCGACGAAGGTTTGTCGACGAGCAGGAGTCTGACGACGAGTAGAAGTCTGCTAGCGAGCAGAATTCTGACGTCAAGTAGAAGTCTGCTGACGAGCAGAAGTCCGACGTCAAGGAGAAGTCCGTTGAGGATCAAAAGTCTGACGTCGGGTAGAAGAGCGACGAAGGTTTGTCGATGAGTAGAAAGTCCGACGACGAGTAGAAGTCTGCTAACTAGCAGAAGTCTGACGTCGGGTAGAAGTCCGCTGACGAGCAGAAGTCCGACGTCAAGGAAAAGTCTGACGTCGAAAGTCTTATAAGGCAAAAACTCAGCGACAGGAGGAAATTCAATAACATATAGAAATTTAACTTTGTGCAGAAGTCCATTGACGGAATTCTGGTGTCGTTAACCAAGGATGTATAATCTATCTGAGGTTATTTGTCAGAGCTTTGCTCGATGATATTAACCAATATTGGATCCACCGCAATAGACTTAACCCAAGCTTAGAGTTGACTTGGTCAACTCTAATTGGATTTGATTGGCCAACATCCAAAGCATGGTTAGGCTATAATTAGGAGTTGATTTGAGGCTTGAAATGGATTCAATGGATTGAATGGGTTAAAATAACCCATTAAAGCCTTAAGGGAATTTTGAGTCAACCTAGGTTGACTGGGTCAACTAGATTGACCCAAAGGGTGGGTCTAGACTGGGCAGGTTTGAAATGATATTTGAAGTCTGGTAGAGGTGGTTTCAGGGATTGAATAGGCCATTTGGATCAAATATGTCTATTGGGCCTTTAATGGGCCTTGAATCAATTATGGGTGATTTGATCAATCAGGTAGGTCAAGGGTCTGGAAATGGGTTCAATCAATTTGAAATGACATTTTGAATATATTGGGTGTGGTTCCAGGGTCTGGGGAGATCAATTGGTTCAAAACACCTGCTTGGACCCTTAAAGTGACTTTGGGTCAAATCTGTTGACTTGGTCAACCAGGTTGACCCAAGGGTTGGGAATGGGTCCGACATACTTGAAATGACATTTGAAACTTGCTGGAAGTAGTTGCCTTCAATTCAGAGTTCATTTGGTTTGAATTCACCATTTAAGCCCCATAGGGGTATTTTTGTCATTTTGACCCTTGGTCAACTGGGGGTCAAAGTGGGTTAACCAAAATGCAGTTTAATGTTCAGTGAGTTATAATTAAGGGTCTGTAAGTAATTAGAGGCTTTGGAGAAAGCTCTAAGGTCAAAATCCACTGGATGGCAGGTCCAGTGGCATAGGCCGTAAATATTTGAAGGTTTTACAGCCTTTGGATTTAGATTTAGATTCTGAGGTTAGAGACCTCAGAATGGGCTCAAATTTGGAGGGTTACCTTCAGAGACATGTCCCATCAATATGCAACTGACAGACTATGAATCGGAGGTCATTTGATTGGTTTTTGAAGTGTTTGAAAATTTGCTGAAAAAGGCTTTTAGGACTTGCCCTTTTAGCATTGGATTTGGGTTTGGATTTTGGATTTGATCTGGATTTTGAGTTTGATAGGTTAAGTTTGAATTATCCAAATCATTTATAATCATTTAGGGAATTATAAATGATTAGATATGTTTAAAGCTATATCCAAGATAAGATCTAAGATTGAACTGGAGATTAAGATCTGAATGGGTTTAAAGTCTGGATTTGATTGAAGTTTGAATTGAATTAAGGTCTAGGCAGCTCCTAGGGTCTAAGAAGATCATAGGGTTTGAATCCAGGAGAGTCTTAGGTTCTAGAATAGATCCTAATATTTGGATTGGTCTGGAAGAATCCTAGGGTCTAGAGTAGATCCTAGGGTCTGAAGTCTAGAAGGGTCCTAGGATCTAGAATGGATCCTAAGGTCTTGATCTTGGAGAATCCTAGGTTTTAGATTTATCTGGAGTCTGGATGGGTCCTTAGTGACCTCATACAAAAATGAGGTCAACAACTTGTTTGATTGATTAGAAATTAAAAGGAAAAGTAATATTAATTGCAATCTTGAAATTTATAATGCTTTACATCTTCTACTCATTCTCAATTAAGTTTAGATTAATTAAAATAAAAGACTATGAACTCATATTGGGGGGGGGGACTATAAATAACTTTTATAATTATAATATAAATAAGTAATTAATAAAGAATATGATTTTTTGTAGTTTTATCATTATAAGAAAGTCAACATAATTTTTATTTTTAAAATATCAAGTCCATGCTAATACAATCATAGTATGTTAATATCCTGTGCTATAAGGTTTCATTTCATGTTTTAACTTATATTTCTTCAATGATGATATATTCAATTAAAAAGATTGAGCTTATTCATGTTTTAACTTATATTTCTTCGCATAGTTTTTGTACTAGAACTAATATCAATTTATTTCCCTCATGATTTTCTTTTTTCATTTCATATGAGTGATTCCATCAACCATGTGTTGCATTGTCAAGTATTTGCAATTAAATTATATAAATAGATAAGCCAAAATATTAACTTTTTTTATAATTATTGATGGTGAATCAAGATTCTATGTTCTTAGTTGTGGCATTTCAACAGGTAAGACATTCCATTACATCTTTTTCTTGAGTATTTTAGATTATTTTGTTTCAACCTAATTGTTTCAGCTGTAATCCTCCTTTATTTGTTATCGCTGCAAACGACTTCATTAATATAATAATATAAATATTGAAGCTCTCATTTTACCTTGCAAGTAAAAGATCCCTCAATTAGATCTCACTTTTGATATGATGCTGGCATGCATGGAAGATCCCAAGCAAGACAGATGATGAAGAGTTCTATTTGGTTTGTTTTGTCTCCTTTCTCTACAACTCATCAATTCCGTTGGTTCTTAATTATTTCATTAAGGCTGCATTATGTCATTAATATTGATTAATCACGGCTTAATTATTATATTGAGTGGGAAGGTATTCGAAAGGAAAAGGAATATATAACGAAATTTTTTTGAAGGAAATGTAGGTCAGAAACATATGATATCCCCAAATATAATGCCATTTCTTGCAAGTAGAACAGAAAGCAATAAACAATGTATTTTTATAAGTGAGAATTAGCACGCTGTTATGCTAATCCTTGTTAGTAATTTCACATCAATAAACTACAGTAATATCTCATATTGCCGGCGGAAATCGGGATATTTTCCGGTGGATTTGGACGTTTCCGGCGGAATTTTATTCGACGCATCGGAAAGATTTTCCGTCGAAAAAAAAAACCAATGGAAATATGATAAAATATAAAATTGAAATTGATAATTAAATTAAAAAAGTTATAAAATATATAAAAAATGTCAGAAATACGATCCCCGCCCACCACAACCAAAGACATCCTGCCCGGACCCCATGGGAATCGAACGCAGGCTGAAAACATTTCAAACATCCTACCACTTTGCTCTAAATGAAAAGCTCTTATAACTTTCACTCCTTTCTATTTAAACTATAATATTAAGGAAATTAAAAATTAAAATAAACTAAAATATTGAAATTAATAATTAAATTAAAAAAATTATTAAATCAACGATTAATTAAAATAAATTTTTAGATAAATAATTAATTAAATAACATATTAAATTACTAATTAATTAAAATAAACCATTAAAAATTAAAAATAGCATAAAATATTATTAAACTAATATATTAAGTTTAATAAGCTTCTATATATGGAAATTGTTGGGTGTGTTTCTCTACGCCGCAAATTGCTCTGCACCTCTCATTTTCTCTCCTAATTCCCTCCGCACCGTCGGCTCTCAAATGCTCTGCAAACCATTCAAAACCACCTTTTAAGCTATAAATGGCGTCCAAACAACCAAAGGTGAAAAGCTTCAGAACATAAATACGGTCCGAGAAAAAAAAATCAAAAGAAATCGACATGTCGTCATCATCACCAAAGAAATCGGGGGTAAAATCCACTCGCCGGACCTCCAGTGGCCGCATGTTGAGCTCCTCCCGCAGCGACATCGAATCCGGCGGTCCGGAGCTCACCTCCACGTCCTCCGGCGGGCCCAATGACTTCATGAGCTACACCGTACTCATGCCCCCCACCCCTGACAACCAGCCCTACACCGCCGTCGGCAGCTCCAGCACCAAGTCTGAAGACCTCCCTCCTCCACCGCCTACCAATGCAGCCAAGCGAACGAATCAGCGTGGCGGTGGTGCGAGAAAGCGTGACGACGGTGGGAGCGGAGGAGATTCCTCTGCCAAGATGGATCGACGTTTATCTTTATTGAAGAGCCAGAATAAGTCGATGCTTCTCCGTAGCCAAACCGGCGATTTTGATCACAACAGGTGGCTTTTTGAGTCAAAGGGAACGTACGGCATTGGCAACGCCTTTTGGTCGCCGGACGGCGGCTATGATGATGCCGGCGGTGGCATGAATATGTCGGATTTCATGGATAAGCCATGGAAGCCCCTCACAAGAAAAGTCCGAGTACCAGCCGTAATTCTAAGCCCATACAGGTATTTAAAGTCGAAGAAGGTTTAAATGATTACATTTATGCTAAATTTAAAATATTTAAGTTCAACTCATCTCTCTGTATAAATTTTTTTTCATGTAAGGTCTAACGGTAACTAAATTCAAACAGGTTGTTGGTGTTGGGCCGTCTGGTTTGTCTAATCGGCTTCCTAATCTGGAGAATAACGAATGCAAACACAGATGCTTTATGGCTATGGGGCTTATCCACCGCCTGCGAGATCTGGTTCGCTTTCTCCTGGCTCCTCGACATCCTCACAAAGATCAACCCCATCAACCGCGCAGCCGACCTCGCCGCACTCCAGGAGAAATTCGAGTCTCCCTCGCCGTCGAACCCAATGGGCCTCTCCGACCTCCCTGGAATCGATGTGTTCATCTCCACCGCCGATCCGGAGAAAGAGCCCCCTCTCGTCACTGCTAACACCATCCTCTCCGTCCTCGCCACAGAGTACCCTGTTGATAAACTCGCCATCTATGTCTCCGACGACGGCGCCGCCCTCCTCACCTTTGAAGCCATGGCGGAAGCCGCCTCCTTCGCCGAAATCTGGGTGCCCTTCTGCCGCAAACACTGTGTCGAGCCTCGCAACCCTGAGGCCTATTTCAACCTGAAACTGGATCCAACCAAAAACAAAAAGCAACCAGATTTCGTGAAGGATAGGCGCTGGATCAAGCGCGAATACGACGAATTCAAGGTCCGGATCAACGGCCTTCCTGAATCCATCCGAAAGCGCTCCAAAACCCTAAACTCCAAAGAACAGAAGAAAGCCGTAAGCCTCGCGAAAGAAAATGGAGAAGATCCCGCCGCAGCGAAATCCAACATTCCAATAGCGACATGGATGGCCGACGGTACCCACTGGCCCGGTACCTGGAAATCCCCTTCCCCTGACCACTCCAACAAAGACCATGCGGGCATTCTTCAAATCATGATCAAAGCACCAGACCACAGCCCTGTCTACGGCAACACAGGGGACCATCCGTTCATCGAATTCACCTCCGTCGACATTCGGGTTCCAATGCTCGTCTACGTCTCCCGAGAGAAACGCCATGGCTACGACCATAATAAAAAAGCCGGCGCAATGAACGCTCTTGTGCGCGCATCTGCCATCCTCTCCAACGGCCCTTTCATCCTCAACTTCGACTGTGATCATTACATATACAATTCGCTCGCCATTCGCGAAGGTATGTGTTACATGATGGATCGAGGCGGCGACCGAATTTGCTACATTCAATATCCCCAACGATTCGAGGGAATCGATCCGTCCGACCGTTATGCGAACCACAACACAGTTTTCTTCGACGGGAACATGCGCGCATTGGATGGATTACAGGGTCCAATGTATGTCGGAACTGGATGCTTATTTCGGCGATACGCGCTCTACGGTTTCTGTCCACCGCGTGCGAACGAGTATTTGGGGCTTTACGGGCAACACAAGAGGAAAGCAGAGGTTGTGCGAAAGAGAGGGGAGGGAGATGATGAGTCTCAGCCGCTAAACGAGCATCCAGATCTTGACATGCCAGAAAGATTTGGCAACTCCGGTATTTTTTTGGATTCGATTGCATTTGCGGAGTTTCAAGGGCGGCCATTAGCAGACCATCCGTCTGTGAAGAATGGAAGGCCGCCTGGTGCGTTGCTTGCTCCTCGGCCGCCGTTGGATGCTTTGACAGTCGCAGAGGCTGTATCTGTCATTTCTTGCTGGTATGTTTGTTAACATAATACAATTTTTTTTTCTTGGGAGATGAAGCAGAAGTTTGAAAGTAAGAATTTTTATTTTGCAGGTATGAGGATAAGACGGAATGGGGGGATAGGATCGGGTGGATCTACGGGTCGGTGACGGAGGACGTGGTGACGGGATACAGAATGCATAATCGGGGATGGAGGTCAGTGTATTGCATTCCTAAGCGCGACGCGTTTAGAGGGACGGCACCAATTAACTTGACAGACCGCCTGCATCAGGTGCTGCGATGGGCTACAGGGTCCGTGGAGATCTTCTTCTCCAAGAACAATGCTCTGCTCGCGAGCTCCCGCCTGAAATTCCTCCAACGCGTCGCCTACATCAACGTCGGAATCTACCCCTTTACTTCCATCTTCCTCGTGATCTACTGCTTTCTTCCCGCTGTCTCCCTCTTCACCGGCGAATTCGTCGTCCAATCCCTCAACACCACCTTCCTCATCTACCTCCTCCTCATCACCCTCACCCTCTCCCTCCTCTCCATCCTCGAAGTCAAATGGTCCGGCATCTCCCTCGAAGAATACTGGCGAAACGAACAATTCTGGGTCATCGGAGGCACCTCTGCCCACCTCGCCGCCGTCCTCCAAGGCCTTCTCAAAGTCATTGCCGGCATCGACATCTCTTTCACTCTCACCTCCAAATCTGCTAATGAGGATGACGAAGATCTCTTCGCCGACCTTTATATAGTCAAATGGACCGCTCTCTTCGTCCCGCCGCTCACTATCCTCACTGTCAACATCATTGCTATCTTCATCGGCGTATCGAGGACGCTCTATAGCGTTATTCCGCAGTGGAGCAAATTGATTGGCGGATTGTTCTTTAGCTTCTGGGTTTTGGCTCATATGTATCCTTTCTGTAAGGGGCTGATGGGAAGAAGGGGGAAGACTCCGACCATTATTTATGTGTGGTCGGGGTTGATTGCCATTACCATCTCCTTGTTGTGGATTGCGATAAGCCCGCCTGATATTGGCCATTCTTACAATGAGGGAATTTAGGGAAGAAGGAGAAGTGGGGTTGATGAGCTTGATTGAGAGAAGTAGTGTGCAGCATACTTTTCTTAAATTTTGTACTTATGTAGGGGAAGGTTGAGATTTGTAAATTATTAGATGCACCTCTGTTTTTATTAGGAGGATGTTTAATTTGATTTGAAGATTGAAGACCGTTAGATTTTGTATTGAGAAGTCACGCTATATTTGAATTAATCTAATCATGTGAAACATCTTCAAAATTTTTATGTAAGTAGAAATTATTCTGTGCGAATTCGCACACCGGATTGTACGGAGACCAATCAGAATATGTCATGTCGCTCGGTGCCTAGCGGTATCGAGAAAAAAAAAAGTGATATGGCTTGTTCTTGTTGGTCTCCGAACGTTGTCCAACATCTTACGTAAAAAGATGGGGGCAAAAGAACTCATGTATGAAAACTATGTTACATAATTTTATTGAAATAAGAGCTTTATTAAAAGATAGATTGTCTTCATGTAATTTACTCAATGAAATGATTTACATAAGTCTGATCGTATGAAGAGAAAAAACTCCATATTTTTTTATCCTCATCTAGATATAAAAGACCTAACATTTGCTCTTTGGGATGAAGCTGATTCCATGATCAAGTCATACTTATGAAACACCAAGATGCCTGAAATCAATGAATCATACATGTTCTTAATAATCGCAAAAGGCATTACGAAAGCTATAAAACAAACTTAAAGAAGTCGTCTCATCAATGAGATTAAGATGAAGTTCTCAATAAGCAAGGTAGACACTCTCTATCATTGAATATTTAAATGCAATGAAAGTCTGTTGGTTGGAGCTTCATTACTACTAAGGTCTTAGATAAAGTTTAGTGATGATGCTATGATTCTTAAACAATTAGTAGAAATATGAGTACTTGAATTTCTTGTATGACTCAATAATAGATTCCATCATATTTTCATTCAAATCTTGATTATCTTGAAATCCTACCATATCTAAATGAGATCTTCTCACTCATACTAATTAAGAAAGAAGATGAATGTAGTGTTTGACCATCTCAATTTTAAATTATCATCCATATAATTTACAAAAAATCTAAGAGGCTTGTTTTCACTAAACTTTCCTAAGAGGACAAAAATATTTTCCCAAAGAAAACAAGTTGTTTTATTACTATAAAAAATAATCATATCAAGAAGAAATATTAGAAACATAACAAAAAGCCTAATAGCTTTGGTGGAAACAAAAAAAACCAATCAATGGGCATACATATTTCGTCGAACCAAACAGACTCAAAGAAAAAAAAAAAAAAAAATGATAAGCTAAGGAAATTTTCAATTCCCACAAAAATATTTTCGAACTTTACTCTCTAGCAAAAAAAAAAAAAAAAAAAAAAAATGATAAGCTAAGGAAATTTTCAATTCCCACAAAAATATTTTCGAACTTTACTCTCTAGCAACTAGTTCTCCTAAGGCCTGAAAAATAGATTAATGAGTCACTGATCATACAACAAACTTTGCCAACTTTTTTCAAATATAGCATGTTTCACTAATCATTCTGCGTTTCAAGACCTCACTGCATGAAAAATGATTGCACAAATTAGAGAAAATGATGGGCTACACCAATTTGAAGACAATAACCATCTATTTTGCTCCCAAATATCCTCCCTAAATAATGATACTATTTGAGACCATCGTTACCAAATATTATAAACAAAAGCATTATGCGTAATTTAAATTAGCAATAGGATCATGAGCCTAAAAAAATTTAAAGAGAAGCAAACTGGCCAAACAAAATAGTGCATTCTAAAGAATGCACCATTCAACCTAACTAGTCGAATGAAATTTTAAAAATACTGTAACAATGAGCTAAACAATTTGATTTTGTTTATGCATTCAATGAAATGCACCATTTTGTTTTACTAATTTGCTTCTTTTAAATTTTTTTTTAATACTCTACTTATATTCCTAATTTAATTAAACACCATGCTCCTCAAATAAAATACCCATCATTATATACTAGACAATTCCTCTTTTAGATTCCTACATTATATGTCTCCTCTTTTTATAAATGTAAACATTAAAGTTTTCATTGAGAAATACGAAATTGCCAAACATCATAAATTTTCTTTCATGGAAGTGAAATCTAATCCTCTACTCTTTTCATGATAATTCATTCACTTGGAGATATTCAAAAACCTTCAACATTTATATGAATATATCTTATTAACCGAAAATATGATGTTAGTCATATTTTTCCAATATTTATTGCCATGTTAAAAAATCAATTTGTTGTGAGCATTAAAAAATAAAGAATGATAATGCTTAAGATTATTTTAATAAATTTTTATCTTCTTTCCTCAATGAAGAAGATATTATTTGTTAATCTTCTTGCCCAGACACCCACCCCAAAAATTTATGACCTTCAATTTGATTTTTGGCATGTTCACGGTAGTATTACATCATTCATTTAATAAATGAGAGTTTTGACATGCATATGTATGTTAAATCAACTAGAAGGCGTTATTTTCGAGACATGAAAGACAACTAAATTACTGTTTATTATATTCAGTTTAAAAATTAAGAAAAATATCATCTTAGCATTATTGTATGTGATTTGTATCTAGTAAGTTTGATGTTATAAATATAATATAATCTGTCAGTGCTAGACTTACGTCTTATGCCAAAGTCATTTGTGGTCAAACATGATTGATGGTAAAAATCTTATTCAATGCTGTTACATTATAAGAATAAAAATGGAACTTTGCATTGTAATAGGTTGGAGGAATAATTACAGAGCTGAATTGGTCTGGAACATGATTTACTATCAAGCTTCCAGAATTGCAATGCTGATTAAAACTAGATTGCCTACCCATAATAATAATCCAAAAACCTTGTATTAATTGGTTATGATCAACTTCGTGGGTAGCAGGTAAATTCTCATCTCAAATCCTTAGATTTACCTTCTTTTTTTTTAGTATAATGTAAAATGTTCCCATTAGGAAACAAGAAGAATATAAACAAGAATCAATGACAAGAAACTAATATGGGAAAAAAAAAAGTCTCACCTGGACTACATAGTTAAAAATCACTCAATTTAGATGCTCCCAGGAAAGGGTATTGAGCCACAGCAATGGTAGTATCCGCTTTCATCAAAAACAAATCTTTGAGAAAGATGGGCCTCCCGAATGGCATATTCACCCCAATCTTCTGAACCATATCTCTTAAATATATCTCGTGCATCAAATGAATCATTTCTTCTAGTCCGAAACTTTCTAAAAATAAGCCATAAAAATTAGTCATAACCATTCACAAAAGATGCGGCATAAAATAATTAGTAAAGAATATCACGCAGCAAAAGAGAACCTTTTTCTATGTCTTGCATTCATCAAAGTGGCATGGAGCTACAATTCAATAAAAAAAACAGTCATTATTAACATAAAAAAAAGGTTCATTATGTTGTTTTTATGATATCTGTTCTTATTTCTACCACTCATATTTGATATGAAAATGAACTATGGGTGGTATGTATGTAATATTAAAATTTCAGATGTTAAAAATGTAAATAGAATAGTGTAAGGTGGTATCTATGTAAATCTCCCAAAAAAGAAAGGAGTAGAAAATCACATTAAAAAGCCCACCTTTAAAGAATGACGAGCATCCTTTTCAAGAACAAGACCTGCTTCCACATAAGCATCAATGATAACCTCTTCATAGCAAAAGTCAAGGCATAACTCATCTGCATTATTCCAACATCTCCACTTCCTAAAGACCATTCTTCTCTTGAAAGTAAAAAAAATCTATAAATTCACATATAAGGTGAAACTGTTTTTGGATACGGCAAGCACGTAACAAGCGTCCATCTCCACTTACTTCCTCTATTGGAGCATATACGACATGGGCATTAGCTGGTGAACCCTTCATGCATGCCTGCAAATTATCATCATAGTGCTTTCAGTCTATTCCGCAATTAACAAATTAAATTACATAAATGCAACAAACTAGAAGGTGGTGAAAAAAATATTTACAGAAAATGAAATCAAAACTGAGCGGGAATATATATATATATATACCTTAACTAGAGGCGAGGATTTATTTGATGAAATTCAACGCTTTCTTACCTTGGTTTTGCTTTGCGTTATGGAGCATGTGGATTTAAACAATCGATTCCTTTTCTTTTTCTTGGCCTTTTCTTATAAGCATGTTGCTTGATTTAGACGTTCCAGTTTTATAGCTATTTTAAGTATTTTTTGTATTGTTTTACATTCATTCTCCATATATCTTTAACAATATTTTATTTGATTGGCATATTAATGTAGCATAAATTTGTGAGTATAGAGTACCAGTATTGCGAATGCTTTGCTTGATAATTACACATTAAGGGAACTATGCATAAAATTATAAACGGATGTGCTTCACTTCAAATATGCCACTTCACGTCATGATTTTAAGCAGAAATCTTCCTTTGTACCTAACACAATAATTCAATGATACTTCCAATAGCGTTGGTCTGGGTGCAGGGAACGTGGGCTTAGGTTTGTCCAACCTTGACTCGTTCAAGAAGGTATATATTTTCCTCAACAAATTGTGTTATTCAGGGATCCAAACCAGCCTGACAACCTGTAGAAGAAAAACTAAACTTCACCCTTATGGAAACTAGTCAGCTAACAACTCTAGAACTACTAAGTGTTGAATGGTTCATTCGCCTGGAGCCTGCCAAGGACATGTCTCACCTCCTAGCCAACGCTGCACCTACTAGGAGATCTTCGGCTGCTGCGGTGAACCCTGTAGCTCCTTCCCAAATCTATAGATCCCTCGCACCCAATCAGCTCCAGCTGATTAAAACACAAGGATCTGCCCGCCCTTAGGACCATGGATCTCACCATGTCACCTATCTGTGGGTTCCTACAGCTGTCGTTTTTTCCATTTCTTCTTGTAAATTGCTATAATATTTTCCTTTTACATGATCTATGGAATAGACTATAAAATTGGTCCTTTGCACAAACAATTTATAATAAAAAACTACAAAAGTTTTTCTCCTTTTCTATTCTCTTTTTCAATTTTTATGAAATCGAAGAAGGAAGGTGATATGAAGTTACGTCAACTCCACCTCCATTCAAATATCCTTCGATTTTGAGACAAAATGAAAGTCAATCCATTCAAATCACCACCATCCAGTTGAATGAAGACAATTTACTTCGTTGGTTTCAATCGATTTGAATGTACATCAAACAACAACAACAACATCGTCAAGCCTTTATCCCACCACATGGGGTCGCCAACAAAACTGGTTCAACTAAACCGTTTTACCTAATTGAAGAAGCAGACAAACAGGCCAGGATGAGCGAATTGGCACGTAGCGAGCAAATCCTGACCCCTATAACATCCATCGTTACAGAACTGGTACGAATCCCCTAACCTTCTTGTGTCAATCTTTTAATTAGAAATTTTGTAAATTTAAATGACGGTTAAAATCTAGAGTTTCAAAAGCATGTTAAGAGTCAAGGGAGCAGTAAGAGCGCAGCGGCATTGTAAGGAGCAATACGGTGCTAAGCTCTTTGTTTGAGAGAGTTCTAGGAGTGTTGTGGCACTAGAGGTCGCCCTCGTGGCATTGAGTTCTCAGCTTGGAGGAATCTAGGAGAATCCACAATATTCCAGCATGGCACTGTAGCGCTGCGTGTCAAAGCGCTACAGCAGTATCCACTGAAATATGTTTATATATATAAATCTAAATCCATTTGCACAAAACCCCTCGCCCCTGAGCTTGCCGGAGAAGGAAGAAGAGAGGAGAAAAGAAGAAGAGGAAAAAAAGAAAGAGAAACAAAGAGAGAGGTTTCAGAGGTTGAGGTAAGGGATTTGTCTGTGAGCGTTGTTCAGGGAATTGCTCAGCTCAAGGTAGGCTTTCAATACTATATCTCTAATTTCAATTCCGAAGTTTTTTATAAAAAAATACGAGACAAATTGCAATTAAAATGAGTGTTACAAGCTTTTCACCATGTAACTTTTAATATATAAAAAATATTTTATTATGATCATTTTGAAAGTAAGAAGTTAAAATTTCATGGGTCGGCTTAATTTGCATTAATTTCTAGATAAATTGTATTAAATATGGTATTTTTGGTATTTCCTATAGTTTAGCAAAAATCTTAAAATGATGTTTTAAAATATCAATGTGAATAGTTTGTTAGATAGAAAATGCCAAGTGTCGATCTGTTGCACATGGCTTCTGTGAGATATTATGGATACATACCTTAAGAAGAATTAAATGTCTATTAAAATGCTTATAAAAATCTATTGTGATAATAAAGTTGCAATCTTTAAAACGCATAATCCTATTCAACATGACTAAACAAAGCATATAAAGTTAAATACTTTTTCAAGCAAATAATTGCCATTGGTGTGTAGGTATGACCTCCTACTTCGCCAGTAGTACTTGCTTGGAGACCTACGGTTGATGCTATGGACATCACCGCATCTTCCCAAATCGACAGATCCCTTGCAGCAAAGCAGCTCCAGCTGCTTGAAGCATACAGATACACCCAACCTTTGCCCAATGGATTTCAGCGAGGTCACCAATGCAGGGAGTCATTTGTTTTTTTATTATTTTATTTCCTGTAATTCGCTTTGATTATTTTCTTTTAATAAGACCTATGGAATAGCCTATAAAAACAGCCACTTCTTGCAGAAACGATTTGCAATAAAAAACAACTATTTTTCTCTATTTTATATTATCTTTTTCAGTTTTTACAAAGATTACTAGCTACAATATCGATTACCCTCAAAGTATGATTCCCTGCGGGGAAACAAACCCATTATAACTCTAATGCATGAAACCATAAGTCAGAACAGATCCAAATCTCGAAGTATACAACAAAAGGAAGAAAAAGAAATTGATTTTGCAAAAGAAGCAAAAAATGTTTATAATTTTCTATTAGCTTGAGTGATCAACTTTTACTTCGTTTAGAACTTCATTTGGATTTATATGGAATCAGTGTTGACGCATATTTCTTGAAGAATGGTTTTCAAATTAAAAAACAACTAACAGGCTTAGACACCTGGTTATGCAGTGGATTAGTAGTCCACATGTACACAAGGTTCCAGTTCAATTTTGCATTGATAACTGAAATGCAATACTAAAATTTTCTAAGGTTATGATTCAATATCCTATCTAGAAGGAAAGAATTATAAGGGAATGAATTTGTAAGTTAGATATGTAAATTTTTGAAGGCATTAGAGCATCAGCCTAGAAATTGTTAGGTTTAAGTAATAAAACTTTCTTTCTAAGAGTTTTGGATTTCGTAAAATCATAAAGACTAAAAGATGTTAAATGATTAAAAAATAATCATTCTAATGCCAAATTGTAACGACATTTAAGATGTTTAGGATTGTAGAAACTATATGAGAACTAAACTTGCAAAAGTTGTAGGATAAATTCGTCCACCGCTAAATCAACATAAGCTTAGAAAAGTTTTATGACAGTATCTAAATATTAATTTCGTTTAATAACAAGCATTTAAACTATGGAGATGATTTTTTTACCAATGCAAATAACACAAAGGTATGTGGAGGAATTTGTTACGCTTGCTCCCACGCCGGGCCAGGAGGGGTCGGCTGGACCGGTCCAGGTCTATACTCGGCGGAAGAAAAACAGGGAGAGGGGGGCGGAACTCCTGTGGGCCACATGATGAGCTTAATGCAATTTTTTGGGGGAAAGATTTGAATGTAAGGGCTGATTAGGTAAGTTGTAATTCTCCTTTGATGTTAATTAGGGGAATATGAGGGAATTAGGATTATCTTGAATTGGAATGAGATTTGAGATATAGGGTTCTTGTGCTTTGAGCTCTTGGCGTTGTAGGAGATTTGGAGAGTTGTTCTGATGGGGACATTAGTTGGAAAGTATACCATCGACATGGCCGTAGATCAACGGCCACGATTTATCCGATGTACCTTTTATTTTATTATTGTTTCCTTAGTGATGTATTTTTATTTCAGGATTTTCCCTTTTTACCCTTGCTTGAGGGATTGAGTCATGTAACCCCTTGAGGGTATTTGAATCATTTTGTTTTATGTCATTGTAAGAGGCTATTTAAAGCCCTCATCTTGTTCTTTTGAGGTTAATGAATGATAATCAAAGAAATTTCCAGCAATTGTATTCTTGAGGCTTAGGTGAGAGCTTAAGAAGGAATTTGAGAGTTTGGTGGAGCCTAGGAGAGGCCACCCGTCGTACCCAACAATCACCACCGGTGGCTCTTAATTTTTCTTCCTTTCTTCTTCCCTTCTCCTCCACTTCCACCGCCGGCCATCCCCACCACCAACCACCACCCCATAACCCCTCCTACCAAAGCTCACTTCAACCTAACCACCAACCCAATCCTTTTTCTCCATTAGCTCTTCCACCCGCCGCACCCAAGCCATGCCCACCGCCAGCCACCTTGTTTGTCTCCATGGATGAGGAGTCAGTGCCACCTTAATGCTTGCCTAAAAAGTTCAAATAATTTGAGAAATTATTTTCATCATTTGAAATTCAATTTTTTAATTTCAAATAGTTTCCTAAATTATGAAGCTATTTTAGAAAAGTATTGAATCTCCTTCATGACATAATTCAAATTTAATTTGGGTGGAATTTTTCTTCTCCTAAATTGAAGAGACCAAATATGAAGGAGATTTAAATTTCTCTACAAAACCCCTCTCCCCACTCTCCATGCCGCCGGCCCCTTGCATGGGCCCCACTTCTTGAATGCTCCATTAAGGCTCTTAATTGCATATAATTTGAAAACCCAAATTCAAATTATTTTTCCTCCAATTCCACTCAAAATCTGAAAATAATTTCAGATTTGGAGATTGGAATATTTCTCCTTTCTCTCAACCCAATTCTATTCCAAACCCTAACCCTTTTCCCCTACAAGCCGCAAGCCTTCCCTTCCCTCCTC